TGTCATACTTGGCAGGATTCAGGGGGTGGTTCATTCTAATACATTTGCACTGCCTGGATAACTTCTGCCATAATATATTCATGACGAATTCTGGAGAGCCAGCTGCCGTTGAAGAAATTAACCTCGGGATTCACAGGGCACGACTAAGAAAAGATACTGCAACAAATGATGCAAACAATGGAGTGAGGATCATCTTGTTGTCGTTGATAATAATATTGTTTACAAATGATACAAACATAGTACATGATTTGGAGCTCAATAGTCAATTGAAACGATTAATAGTTTAACCAGTAAGCCAGTATGTAGCACAACATAGTATAGTTATTACAAAGGTGAAAGATTATCACAGAGGTTGCATTTATTTATCTTTGGTTACGCCGTAATTAACAGTGGTATATATGCCAGGCCGTATGATCAGGCCGGGTTGACCAACCTACAGTTGGTCCTGATCTGCCCGACGGTTCCGTTGGGCGGGCTGAGGTTCCCCATCTTTATCATCGCGGCTGCGAAATCGACAAAGAAGGCGGCATTGTCTCCTTTGTACTTGAGCACTATCTTAACCTGCGTCTGGTTGTTCTGGGGGTACAGCACCTGGTCGGAGTGGAGGAGGCCGCGCACGCTGGTGAGGTCCGCGTAGTACTTATTGTCGAAGGTGGACCCCGTCGAGTCCAACGGCACCGGCAAGGTGTCGTCGATGGGGCCATTTTGGGGGCAGTTGGCCTTGAGCCCCTCGGCGAACTGCAAATCGATGTGGGCTTCGTTGTAGAGGCGGACCACTCGCCTAGCTTTTAATCTGGCAGCGCTGGAGTGGACGCCATATTCGTCGATGCCCGAGGTTGGAGCAGGAGATGCATGAACCACAAGCTTGTAACTTTCTGGTAAACATTTTTACATGCAATGTGAACTAAAAGAATGGATGCATGTGAAATATTTAATAAGTGAAAGTTGTAAATATGTTTGCAATTTTCAATTGGAATTCACACCTAAGGTCGTGAGGTCGATCGGTGCTCCAAATGAAGGTTAGCGAATTTGGAAATTTTTATAGGGGAGATTGCTTAAAATGCACCTAGACATCACCGGTCCTCGCCTTGAGTCAACCTTACGATAGCCTCATAAGTCTAGAGGAGGACATGATCATAACCTTATGATGCTATACGCTTTAACCACAGGGATTGATGGAGAACTTCTGGTAGGGCCCCACACCACTATAGGTTGCCCCTGTCAAATTTCTTTTTCTTTTCCTGCTAATGACGGGGCTGACTGGCAAAACTTTTGTTGCGCTCGCATCCCCATCAAGTTGAGGGGAAACACAACACGCGGCCTTGGTTCTCTAGATGGCGGTGTGATAATCAGCCCTCTTTATGCGACTTGGTGAGTTGACGATGATCATCATTGCGACTGACATCTAAGGCATCACTGAAGTTATGGACTAAATTATTCCAAATCTGGATCTAGGGTCTGGGAACAACGCGCTTGTCGTAGGATCCCTCGTTGTGACAGGGTGGGGTGCCGAGCGAAAGCTCCGCGCTTTTGCGCCAGTGACAGGAATACTCGGGGTGCCGCTCTCTTCTTGAAGACATTGTTGTGGATCTCTCCGCATCTGAGTTCCGGGTGAAAACCCTTGTCTGGTGTTGCTAGACAGTGACGACGCCTTGCGTCATTCTTCCTCTCGAGGGCGTCGTCGAGGAGTTTAGGTATCCTAGGGTGTTGTGTGGGGTTGGTCTCAGCTTCACCAGTGTTCTCCTTCGGCAGCGTAGTTGCTTGCCTTCTACGCGTTCTAGGTAACCTAGGATCTTCTTTATAAGAGGGTTACCTCACCACCTTCTATAGTTTGGTTGTGTACCTTGT